TAATAATTATAGTTACTTTGCAGTTATAATGTTTAATTCATGATTCTCTATTTTTTACTTTCATCATCAATTTTTTTCATAAAGCTCATAGCATCAATTATACCAATAGTTAAACAATGTAGTTTAGTTTGTTTATACTGGTATTGTTTGTATAAGCATATGAATAACCATCTCTCTTTTCACAAATCTTTACAAGCTTAAGTGCTAATGAACTTGCAAAAGCTTCATTCAATTCATGTCATTTACTTTTAATTCGTTAGCTGTTTGAGAAATATCTACAAATATATCAATATCCACATGCATGTTACTTTCTCCTTTAACATCCATAAGTTTTTCATAAACTATATATTCAAGCTCTTCGAATTTTATGATATTTTCTTTTTGCTTATGAAAATCATTTAAAATTGAATTCTCATGTTTCCATTTTTGGCTTTCATTTACATGGTTTATGCATTCAAAACATGATTTATTATTAATTTGAAATTTATTAATTGGTTTCATAATTTGACAAGATGAATGAAGTTTTGTAAGAGGTGTATATTCCATTTCAGAAAATAATATGATATCCAAAAGAAATAAAAAATTTTAACATTAATTGTTATTATTATTCTTATATATTAATTATTAATTAAATGTCATCATTATTGTATTAATTAATTTTAATGATGGCAATAAATTTAAGCTCTGTAATATGTAACTGATCATGGTGGTGATACTAGGTGAGTTTATGCCACTGGGGAGATATTTCATTATTCATGTCGTCCCAGGGAATAAATTGTACATAAATAGTACATAAATATATTACAGCTATTTTCATAATTCCTGGAACACATGATAAAATTGACCCGAATGGTTTTTCGGTCAATCCGGTTAAATATTGATTTCGGCATGATCGGTACGTACAGTTGCCTCCAAAAGTTTAACACGGTTATACAAAAAGCAATAAAAAAAATATAACAAAAAATTTATACAAATCAACGATATTTAATACATTGCGCAAATTAATATAAGATTACAATATTAGTATATTAATAATTACACAGCATATATCGATACATATCAGTTATCAGTTATATATACTAAATCTCAATATCTACAACTATAACCATTATTACGAATGACTTCTCTAATATGACTTGGCATACTATTAATTAAATTCTTGAAGATTGATAAATCTAAATTTTCCCATTCTTCCAGAAGTGCCGTCTTTAAGGTTTCATAAGTTCTTGGAGGCGGCCTCCGTTGTTGAATGTTGTCCTTTAATATTTTCCATAAATTCTCAATGGGGTTCAAATCAGGTGATTGAGCTGGCCAGGGAAGACAATTGATATTTTCATTATCCATCCATTCTTGAGTATATCATGCTCTATAGATGGGTGCATTGTCATCTTGATAGATGAAATCATCTCCGAACTTTGCAATTAGTTCATGGCAAAAAGGTACCAAATGATCTTTTAATACTTTAACATATTTTTGAGCATTAATTGCTCCTGCACCATTTCTTTCTCTCATAAAAACCAATGGTCCTTTTTCTTCTCCCACAAAACATCCCCATAACATGATGCTTCTTCTTCTGCTTCTAAATGTTGGTACCGTATTGTAAGGGTTATAGCGATCTTCAATCATTCTCCATATGATAATTTTTTGTGAACAACCACCAATTTCAACAGATGATTCGTTGCTAAATATAACCTTCTGCCAATCGTTTATACTCCAATTAGCATGAGCATTACACCAGGCAAGTCATGCTTCTGCTTGTCTTGGAGTCAAACCTGGCTTCTTAGCAGCAATACGTCCCCATATTCCATGCTTGTGCAAGATTCTTCTTGCTATAGATCGTGAAATATTAATACCATTATTAGCTAAAATTTCATTAAGCGGCTGATCTCTGTAACGGATTGTTGCATTAATAAGATTTTGTTCATCCATATTAGTCATAATCAATGGTCTTCCCGAACGCAAGGCAGTTTCAATATTTCCTTGTTCTCCATATCGAGTTAAAAATCGAAATACTGCAGAACGATCCTGATTTAGTACTGTAGCGATAAAAATTTTTGTAGCTCCAAGTTTATGCATTCCAATAATTTGTCCTTTTTCAAAGTCACTTAATTGAATATTGCGAGGCATGGTTAATATAAAATAAGGGTAAGAAAGAATAAGAAAGAGTAAGAAAGAGTAAGAATTAAAAGAAATTTTTTGTTTTGAATTCTTAAATTGTATATATTTAAATTGATTAATAATGATTAATACAGTGATTAATTAACTTACAGTCAGACCTCTATATAATCACCAACTCCGTCGCGCCCTATTTTGGTGATTGTATAGAGGTGTGACTATAAACA